GACTGTGGCCCCGGCCCGCGGGGCCCCTCCGAGACCCCCGCATCTTGAGCGTCCGATGGCACCCGCGGCTTTGCTGATCGTGAATGTTTTTGGCACTGTTGCCCGGATCCCATTTTCCAGCTTTCCAGAGTCGGCTTTGTGCTGGGTGCTGTTATTAGATCTTTTGGGAAGGCCCTGTCTTGCTCCTTCCCAGGCCATTTCAGCCCGAAAACCAGTGTCTGCCCGAGAGATCACAAGCCATGTAAATAGGATAGAGTGCTGTGTTTGTTTTTTCTCTCCAGACCGAGTTTGAGACCCGTGCTGGTTTTCCGTAAATGGAGAGACCCCGGTATAAACATGGAGCACAGGGAGAGGGAGAAGGGGGTGGGTCCAGCACCCCTTTTTAAACCAACCAGCCTCCAGGAATCAAAGTGGTTATGCTTGTCAGTTGTCTAAGAAGATCTGATAGAGAAGGCAGGGATTCCAACTTCCAGACGAAGTCTGGCACGTGTCCAAACACATACCTACAGGCAGAACCAATCACGGCGGCTATTGGATTAAAGAGAAAACGTGCCCAGACCGAGAGCCACTTGGCTTTGCCGGGTGCCTTCTCCCGCAGGGTCTGCCGGTTAGGATGCACCTTGCACCCTGACTGTGTTGGCTGAGATCCCAAAAGGGGCCGTCCCTGAGGCCTCCCTGCGAGGCCTAGTGATCCCAGGTCATCTAGTGTTGCACGTAGACCCCAAGGTCACTCCAAGAGTTTGGGCACAGCGATGTTAATTCACTCCTGAACAACTTGTGGCTGGCAAGTTTGGTTTGATTCGGATATAATGACACCGAGCCAAAATTAATATAATGATTTTTTTAGAAGTCATAAGTCATTTGTGTTTTTCAACTTATGTGGACGGTGTATACATAGCTTTTGTGAAATACTGAAAATTTTGTTTCTCATTTACAGTGTTAAGCTTGTATACTAGTGGTATGGTTTCTTAAATCTTGTTAATTATACATGTTTGGATGACTGCAACAAATGGATGGCATGCCAGTTTTAAAAAGCAAATTTCTCTCATACTATAGGATGAGTTGAATTATTTGGTGTCTGTTTTTTTTATTCAAATAAATGAGAATTTTAAAAAGAAATATCCATAATCAATTTTTAAGAATTGATAAAAAGATATATGATCAAATTTAGAAAGAGAAGAATTATGTCATTTTAAAATTTCGTTTTCCCCCTTTATCTTTTCCTCAGAGTATCAGCAGTTTGGATTATATGACTTTTAAGTTCTTTTCAACTTTAAAATTGTATGAACTTAACTGCCATGTCACTGCATTCCCTACCTGCAGAGATCACTTTTGTGTAGATACTGGTACTAATTACTTATTCTTACTTAGATTTTACATTTGTGTTTAATTTTCCCCATGTTGTTTTGATAGTTATCCTAAAATTTTGTAATTAATGTTCTAAATTTTGCTGCTTTGTATTGGTAAGTTATATTCAATATTTTGGATTACTAGCTTCATAATTTTAACTCTGCCAACTGTTGAATGAAAGAAAAATCTGCATGTTTGGGATTTTTGAGTTTTTTGTTATTGCAAGGGTTTAAATGTTTAAAGCAAGAAATCTAAGGATGGAAGTGAAGATGGGAAGGGTTATAGATTTTGTTGATCAGAAAAGGGCATGAATTTTAAGAGACTGAAAAGTACTACTTTGAAATTACCTGGTGTTATACCTAACACCTAGTTATCATCTATCCAAAGCAATTTTTGCCTTTAGTGCCAACAGGTTTAGCGGTAGAATGTGTTTTTGTTTTAGTGTAAGAAAAAAGAAATCTGCATATTTCTTTTCAGAGAACCCTAAGGTATAGACACTTGTCGAATGTTAATACTTGAAAGATCATTCTCATCACAAGCCTGATAGTATATTATTTCATAATATTTTGTTAGAAAAACGCTTCTGGACTCTAGTAAATGGCTCCCTTGTTTAAGACATTTATTTTGATTTTATATACTTCTAATCCAAGTAGTTTGAACACTCTTGAATTGAAGTTCATTCTAAGTTAATTGGACTATAGTATAAATAGAGAGTTCTTGAGTGTGCTTTTTCCCTAAGGTTTATTGTAAGATTTTTTTTTTTTTTTTTAGACATGGGAAAGTCTCTTTCTCATTTGCCTTTGCATTCAAGTAAAGAAGATGCTTATGATACAGTCACATCTGAAAATATGAGGAATGGGCTGGTTAATAATGAGGTCCATAATGAAGATGGAAGAAATGGAGACGTCTCTCAGTTTCCATATGTGGAATTTACAGGGAGAGATAGTGTCACTTGCCCCACTTGTCAGGGGACAGGACGAATTCCTAGGGGTATGTATTATTGCATGTTTTCCCTTTAAATAATAGTTCCAGGTACTTTCTCAAATATTATAAAATTTATGGATCTAAGCAACCTTCTGTTATAAAAGACTCTTAGAATTAAAGCTGAAACTTCATATCAGTTATCTTCGTTCAAAAAAGATGCAAAACAAACTTAAAAGTATTAATTAAGTTTTCTAGAGCAGTAATGAAAATCATCTCACTACCTCAAATATTTTTTCTTTCCCGCCTGCTGTTATAGTAGATATGCACTGTCTCTTGACTGAAAACTTTTAGTCCTATTTGGCATCTATAGAGGTCATATCACAGACACTTTGCTCTGTATTAGATGTTAGAAGCAGTTTAAGGGTCTGGAATTCAAGTGCAAGGCCTAACCCAACATCAACAATGAATTGATGACACTAAAAAGCTGAGCTGGATGAGCATGCTAAGCTAGTCAGTGCCGTAGAAACTAAACCCTAGGACATTGCAGCATTCCAAGGCCTCTGACATGAAAAAGAATTAGCAATGCTGAGAGTAGCTAGAATGGGAAGAGGAGGTCACTTGTGTCTGGTGTCCTGGAAGGTTAGTGAAGAAAGTGCCATGGAGGAAAGAGTAATCAGATGTTAGATGCTACTGATGAAGTAATGGAAGATGAGGACTGACCGCTGGATTTGGTGATATGGAAGCCACTGGAGACCTTTAAAAGAGCACTTCTGGTAGCTTGTAAAGACATGTGTAGCATGAATAGAGTGGGCTCAAGAGCGCATAGGAGAGAAGTACAGAGAGAAAACAGCTTTTCTGAGGAGTTTGGCTCTGTAGAAGAGAGAGAGGGGTGGTAGCTGGAGGGAGCTATGAGGTCAGGAGAGGTTTTTAAGAAGGAATGAGTAATAGATGTTTGTATGCTGATGAGAATGATCCATAGAGAAAACATTGGTACTGCAGGAGATTGGAGAATTCCGGGAGCAACATTCTTGAGTAGATGCAAGGAAAGGAGATCTAGTTCACAAGTGCAGAGGGTTCCTCTTCTAGAGGGGCCCCGGGCAGTTTATTCTTAGTAGTTAGAGGGAGGATAGCAGATAAGATAGAGTAGTAGATAGACTGTGTGTGGATAGATGTGATACTAGGAGCTTGTAGAAGTCCTCTTCTGTTTGTCACGTTATGAACTGAGTGAAGAGAGGGAGAAGATATGAAGATTTGAAAAGAGAGTTGAAGTTATAAATTATGGTCTTAGAGAGTCCAATTGAGAACATGCTCTTGAGAAGTGTAGAATGATTGTTAGCATCATTACCAGCCACTGAGATTAGTGATCTAAAATGAGACCAGTGAGCATAGTTACATGTTTTTATCTCTCCACTTCAGCTGTTTGAATATATTTGTAGTAATCAGAGGACCAGATTTAATCAGGGTTGTAGTTTAGCCAGGTAAATACCACTAAACAAGATAGGATATGTAAACACACAGAGTTGTGTACATCTATATCTATATCATTATGTAGGTGTGACAGGTAGTGCAGATGAGGGAAGGGATTTGGAAGTGGCAGGTAAGAATAACAAAAGCATTGTAGAAAGCGTTTAAAGAGGATCTGACTGGTACTTTAACAGTTAATATGAAGGGCCAACTTCTGATAAGATGAGAAAATGGACATTTAAAAGTCATTTAGGCATTCAAGCTTATGGAAGAAAGCAGTCATGGATTTCAAAGTGACTTTAATGGGATTGGAGTATGACCTGAAAGGCTCACATTATGTAGGGGCTCTGAAAGCTTGAGACTTAGTATGTGTGAGTTTTGGTTTTCAGGGGAGCAGTGTAAGAACCACCTCAGTTACAGGGGTTTCAGGAAAGGGAGATAGCAACGTGTTTCCTCTGCTGTCCTCCCTCCAGATAACCAAATCAGAGTCTTTTTTTTTTTTTTTTTAGTTGGAGTTTCACTCTGTCACCCAAGCTGGAGGGCAATGGCACCCTCCCAGCCACCGCAGCCTCAACTGCTGGGCTCAGGCGATCCTTCCACCTCAGTCTTCCAAGTAGCTGGAACTACAGGCACATGCCACCATGCCCAGCTAAATTTTTGACTTATTGTAGAGATGAGGTCTTACCAAGTTACCCAGGCTAGTCTCAAACCCGCAGGCTTAGGCAATCCTGTCAACCTCGGCCTCTCAAAGTGCTGGCATTATAGGCATGAGCCACCACTCCTGGCCACCAAATCAGAGTCTTAACTGAAAACAATGGCATTTAAGAAACGCTTGGTAAATTCAGATTTTCTGAAAGCTGGAACTTTTTAGATTTTTTTTTCCAGTGGAAGAAAGAGTATAGAGTCCTGATTTGTTATACTTTTGTTGATTAGCAGACATCTAGATATGAAAAAACAGTGTCTTCTCTAGAACTCAACTTCCACTGGATAATTTTTGAAGACTTGGAGAGTATTTTACTAAAGAAATGAGATGAGAGCTAGATGGCAATTTGGTCTTTCCAAACTAGATTGATATGGGAGGGCACTATATTTCTAATTAATCATGTTGATTTCTAAACCTATTTCTTCACATTTAGGGCAAGAAAACCAACTGGTGGCATTGATACCATATAGTGATCAGAGATTAAGGCCAAGAAGAACGTAAGTGATTACAAGAAAATTACATTGTTTTATTTTAGTTTTTTGTGTTTTTTTAAAATTCTGTGTAAATAATTATTCTAGTTAAAACTATTAAAAGAAAAAGTGGTATCAAGTTGTTATATTATCATATGCTTTGTGTCGTTAAACAGGAAAAAAAGGAATTTCTGGTGGTAAAATCTTGAAAGCAGTGTAGTATCTGTGTCTTCTCAAATCTATTTAATAAAACAAATTTAGAATGGCAGTAGGAAATCCATAGCATTTTCATTAAAAAATAGGTTGTAGGGCATTTCCAGTAACCCTAAAATAAAAATGGATATTCAAACTGTAATGACAGCAGAGACTAAACATGCTTAGCAGCTGTGTGGAGGTTGTGAAGGAAAGCAAGAATGGAGTTCCTAAGAATCCTAATAGCCCTAATATACAAAGTGAATACTTTGTCCCAAAAGAAGAGGTCCCCACTCGGGGAATTCCCAGCAAATACTTCCAAGAATAGTCCTCTAAAATGAGAAGACTGCGTGTTCCAGCTTGGAGAGAGTGCAAAAAATCCTCAGAGATCCATTAAACAGCCTTGAGAAGATCAGAAGGAAGTGGACTGTTCTCGCTTCTCAGAGACCCTAGGTAACCTCAAAGAAAAAACAGTTCTTGCAAAAGGACAGAGTTCTTGCTCATTCCTCATTACCATTGTGTACATGAAGCAAAACTTATACTATCAGTCCCCATTTCTGGTCTTATAAGCATAACTTATACTATCCGTTCCCCTATTTCTTAGGATATGGAAAGATATAAGAACTAAGGAAAAAGCTGTTGGGTATAATCCAGATTATACAGGGCAGGAGTTAGGAATAAAGACTAGAACAGATTCCGATACTAGGAAGATTATCTGAGGACTATGGGCCATCTTTTTTAATACTTCTTATAACAGCAGAGTGGAGCCCTTGAACAGTGAAGCTAGGAGGGCAACCTGAGCATAGCCCGTTACCCACAATGAAACCTTAAAATGGAACCTCTTAAAAAGTACAAAATCTCTTCACATTTAAACATGAGCAACTGGAAAGGATTGCAATAAAGCATTATACAAAGTTACTTTTTAAAAAGTCAAAAAAAGTGAACTGAGCTAAATGCTGATCTGATAAAGCATATGGCAAAAAGCAGATTAAAATTTTAACTTAATATTATAGAAGTTGTAACAGAACAGCATAAGTCAGAGATGGAGAAGCTCAGATGAGATAGCCAAACAACGGGAGGATGTGAGTTTATAGACCTCTGGAAAGAAGGGAAAAAAAATATGTCCACAAAACTGGAAGGATGCAATTGCAAATACATATTCTCAAGAGTACAGTCAGAGAAAGAGAAGATAAAGAGGAATAAAGACACACAAGTTAATGAAAAGGATTTGAGAAAAAATGATATCGAAGACAAGGAAAATTGAGCATGTATGTAATTGAAGAAGAAAATCAAAATAACTGAACAAATAAACATTAAATCAAGAACACTTCCCAGCCGGGCACAGTGGCTCACGCCTATAATCCCAGTACTTTGGGAGGCCAAGGTGAGAGGATTGCCTGAGCTCAAAGGTTCGAGACCAGCCTGGGCAATTTGGTGAGACCTCATCTCTACTATAAATCAAAAAATTAGCCAGGTGTGGTGGTGCGTGCCTGTAGTTCTAGTTACTTGGAAGGCTGAGGTGGAAGGATCGCCTGAGCCTTGCAGGTCGAGGCTGCATTGGCTGTGAGCATGCCACTGCACTCCAGCCTGGGCGACAGAGTGAGACTCTAACTTAAAAACAACACAAAACAAAACCAAAAGAACACTTCTCTAAAGTAAAAGAAGACATGAATCTACAAATTGAAAAGACACACTGCTACACTGAAAAAAATCAACCCATTCTAGTGAAATTCTAAATTAAAAATAAAAAACCCTTTGAACACCCAGGCAAAAGGATCAATTAATCAAGAAGGGATAGAAAATCAGATTAATGTGCCACTTCTTGACCACAATTTTTCAAAAAAGTAAGCAGGATAATAAAATAAACCAAGGATTTTATGAATAGTCCTTCTGACCCTTTATTATAAAGTGTGTAGACAGATATGAATATGAAAGAAATTAGGGTTAATCTCTTTATAACTTGAAAGTGATAAAACTTTTTTCCAGCTATGATATGATTTTGAATCCAGAAGTGATGAAAGAAAAGTTTGACAAAGATAAACTTTTACAGGATGAATACAAAACCTTAATTGAAGTTAAAACACAAATGGCAAATTGGGAAGTTATGTTTGCAAATCCTATCACAGACAGAGGGTCAATATCCTTAATCTATAAAGAGCTTCAAGATTTGAGGGAAAAAAGGCCAACCACCAAAGAAAAATAAAAGCTGTGAACAGCTAATTCACAAAAAGAAATGCTAATGACCTTTAAACATTTGAAAAGATGGTCAGTGTTGCTTATATTAGAAATGCAAATTAAAACTACACTGAGATACCATTTTTATCAGACTGGCAAAAATCCAAACTGCTAACAACATATTTTGTTGGCAATACTGAGTGAAAACAAGCATGCTCGTGCCTTGCTAGGGAGTGGGAATTTGGCATTGCTGAGCAATTACATATGCATTTACTTTTTGGCTCAGAATTTCTCCTTTGAAAAATTTATTCTAAGGATAGTTGTCAAATACCGTAAATGCCATTTGTACAAGTTTTCATTATGCCATGTTGTAATAGCAAACAACTAGAAGCCTTGTAAATAACCAGATATAGGGGACTGATAGTATAAGTTATGTGTTCATGTACACAATGTGGAATGAGATGTGGAATGTGGTGATATGGAATGAAAAAGAACTGTATTTTACTGCAGTGTAATATTTAGGGCACATTTTTATTTGAAAACACACCCACACACTCAGAAACAATGAAATGATAAACCAAACACGAATAAAATTGGTTACCCTCAGAGTTTGGGAGGGAACTTGGAAGAAGGAACAGGTATGCCAGTAAAGAGTGTGTGTGTGTGTGTGTGTGTGTGTGTGTGTGTGTGTGTGTGTGTCAGTCACATGTGCACATTGTTTGGGCTTTAGAACTATGTTCATTTTTTTTTACATAACAAAATTTGTTGTAAAATAGTACTTTTTTTTTTTTTTTTTGAGTCAGAGTCTCACTCTCTCCCAGGCTGGAGTGCAGGGGCAGCTCACAGCCACTGCAGCCTCGACCTGCTGGGCTCAGGTGATCCTTTCACCTCAGCGTTCCAAGTAGCTGGAACTGCAGATGCGGGCCACCACGCCCAGCTAAGTTTTTTTTAATTGGTTCTCACTCTTTCACCCTGGCTGGAATGCAGTGGCATGCTCACAGCCATCACAGCCTCTACCTTCTGAACTCAGGCAATCCTTCCACCTCAGCCTTCCAAAGAGCCAGAACTACAGGCATGTGCTACCATGCCTGGCTTATTTTTTGATTTATTGTAGAGACGAGATCTCACCAAGTTGCCCAGGCTGGTCTCAAACCCCTGAGCTCAGGCAATCTTCTTGCCTTGGCCTCCCAAAGTGCTGGGATTACAGGCTTGAGCCACCACGCCCACCTAAAATAGTACATTTTAAAAATTATAATAAATGTATAGTAAAATATTTTGGGAGCAGCTCTGGGTTTTTATTTGTTTACACATTGGGGGAGTTATGTGAGGTAGGTAGAAAAGTATATTTATTAATTGCTTTTGTTTATATGATTCAGCTATGTCATTTAATCCTTAAAACAACCCTGTAGATATTAAAGTGGAAGAAGAATAAATAGGCTTAAATCCTACAGGTAGGAAATGGCAGAAGTAGCATTTTAACTTGACTCCAAATATACCATGCAACCATCCTAACTTCATCAATACCTAGTAACCCCAAGGTTTTAGTTGCTGTCCCCAGAGTGATAAGAAAAAGTACTGGTGAATTTTATAATGAAAGCTTATACTTTGTCAGCGAACTAGCTGGTTGTTCACTTTGGGATAAAATACTGCATGGAATGTTTCACCAGTTTCAGTCATTTGGAACACTGGCTCACGTACTGACAACTGGGATTGACTTGTAGGCCCTGAGCACTGCGTAGATTGTGGTAGGCTCATCCGCCTATGAGTAATTAAAGATAAAACAACACCAAAGTATAGAAAATTCAGCATCATTGTGAGTTTTTATGATGTTGATTTTTAAGATATTTTTATGCCTTTTTAGGTGTTTTGTGTATTGTGGATACTCCAAGCATGTGTTTAAATTTCCTGTTAGATAATTTAGTCGTGATCACTACTCAATTAAGAAAGTTCCTTGGAAGTGAGTTTATGCTGCTTTGTTTGGGTCAAGAGAGCAGCATGGACTTAGTAGCAGTGATTTAGCAAATTTGTGTTTACTTGTTTTATTTTATTTTTTATTAAACCATTTTGCTCTCAACTTAGGCAATTTAAAATACTCAAAAATATTTATAAAACATCTGCAGGAGGCACTTTAATAGCTGATGTGAAGTATACAGAGATTAAATCCATTAGGTCATTTCCAAAGTAGTTGGTAGAGAGGAGAGAATGGAAGAAAAGATAAAATGGAAACATTTTTATATGACTAGAACATGGGAAAAGATGAAATAATTAATATGCCTAAGAGTTAAAAACAAAAAAGAATGCTGTGGGCTTTCAGCAGAGGTCTGTATATTGGAGAGAACAGATAATAGTTTCTTGAAACTATAGTTTTGAGGCTAATCTTGAAGAAAAGAGAAAATTTTATCTATAAAGATTGGAAAGAAAAGAGCAAGAGGTGGAAGAGGCACATTTCAGGGGCGTTAAAAGAATGTAAGGCGTATAAGCTTGTTTTTTTTCCTTGTCTTATACTTCCATAATGTCTATTTTTCTTGATTAAAAAACAAAAAGCAGCGATTTTTCTTTTTGAGAAACTTGCCCGTGGGAAGTTTCTTTTCCCTTCTCTTCTTCTTGCTAAAAAACTCTGTTTTAAAACCTAAAACAAACAAACAACACTGCAACAGTATCTTCAAAGCAGAGTTGATCAATGTAAACAATATTTTGAAAACTGAGTATGTAAAATATTTTGAGATGAGAATACTCATAAAAGAACTGATCATAGTGAGAATCATCAAAAAGTCATGTGGTTATGTCATTATTATTTTTAAGAGCTTCACAGATGTTTCTGGTGAGCAGTCACATTAGGGGATCTTACAATGGCAAAACTCACATGAAAATTCTGCTTCGGTGAATTCAGGAGGGGGTCTTGAAATTTGTTTTTGTATGACATTCCTTAGCTTGGCAAAGACTTCTTTGGGAATCACTGCAGTAAATGTTCTATTGTTTATAAGATTGAAATCCCAGTTTCCAAAAAGATGAGTTTGCCTTTTAAGAAGAACATTTTAACACCTAAGAGACTCAGACCCAGCCTTACCTAATACTTTTAGAATGTGAAAATTTGGTAAAATTATATATCTTATACATGTGGCAGATATATAGGGGGAATATTCATATTGAAAATATCTTCTTTTAATGTTGTATTATATAATTTTTGATGCACGTATATTAAAACTTTCTTTCCTTTTCAGAAAGCTGTATGTGATGGCTTCTGTGTTCGTCTGTCTGCTCCTTTCTGGATTGGCTGTGTTTTTCCTTTTTCCTCGCACTATTGATGTGAAATACATTGGCGTAAAATCAGCATATGTCAGTTATGATGTTCAAAAGCGTACAATATACTTAAATATTACAGTAAGTACAGTTTTGTATGAAAAATGTTTGACTTTTTCCTTTTATTCTGTTAAACCTCACCTTTGTCCCCATTGAGAGGATGTTCGTTAAATGTGACTCTGGTTGGTTTGCTTTCTGTATGCCTTTTCAGTCTTGGCTTTCTCTGGTTCTACTGAAAATGGCAGTAATAAGTACTGGCAGTACTAATTCTGTGTATGCAGAATCATTTAGCATTTGAAGATGTCTTTAGGAAGGTAAAATAAGCTATACATTTAATTGCTAGCAAAGAAAAAAGTATTATGGTTTACTTTTCAACATTTAACTCTGAATAACCCCTAGCAAGGTGTTAGCATAGTTGATTGGATAGATATTATTTGTGTAACATTTTAATTTTCTTGTAATTTGTGAAATATAACTTTTGCCATATTTAACAGAGCACCCCTTAATTGTGCTTAAAGGTGCAAGTGACTGATTTCTGTGTTGTAAATTAATATTTGAAAATATCCTCTGTGTTTCTCAGGACATTGTTTCTGGAAGGATTGTGTAAACTCCTCACTCCTGAAAACAAAAACAAACAAAAACCTCAGAGAAGGTCTCTTACCTATTTTACATGTTAACCTTTGTTTGAAAAAAGCATGGTTTGCTAATCACTGCATTAGAAAAGAGAAGCTATTATTAATTAGCCATTAGTAATCATTTATGGCTTCAGGCCCAAGGTATATTGTGTGACAGTGATCTGTTTGAAGAATGATGGCGAGTTCTCCTTGCAGAGGCAGATGGTATGGTTAAGGTTGAGGTAGAGATGTCTGTGGTAGTGGTTGGGAGGAGGGAGTTTTAGAGGAACAGAGTGAAAGAGATGTTAAAGCAGAAGCGCTCCTTAATTACTACGGTTTTTTTTTTTTTTGAGTTGGAGTCTCACTCTCTCCCAGGCTGGAGTGCAGCGCCATGCTCACAGCCACCACAGCGTCTGCCTGCTGGGCTCTGGCAATCCTTTCTCCTCAAGTCTTCCAAGTAGCTGGAACTATAGACATGCGTTACTACACCTGGCTAATTTTTTGATTTATTGTAGAGGCAAAGTCTCACCAAGTTGCCCAGGCTGGTCTCGAACTCGTGGACTCAGGGAATTCTCTCACCACAACTCCCAAAGTGATGTAATTACAGGCTTGAGCCACCGTGCCTGGCATTAATACTTTTTATTTATTTATTGTTTTGTTTTTTCTTAAGAAATTTTCATAAGTATGTGTGTTCTCAACCTGTTTTGCATCAATGATCTCTTTAATATTCTAATGAAAGTTATGGACGCTTCAGAAAAAGACATGGCAACATTATTTTGCGCATACAGAGGGTCCCAAAATTCTTCTAAAACCATATTCCTTGGTCTGTATCGGAAAAGCCATTGACTTCAAATTAACTGTCTCTTATTATATCTAGAAGTAAAATTGATACGAATATTAAGAACAAAATAGATAAAATGTTTATATATTTAAATAAAGGTTATTTCTATTATGTTATGAAGTTATTTTAACATTTCTTTACATGTATAACTACAATAACTTAAATGACTACATAAATGTAACTATATAATTGCTGACTCTAGCACATCCTTTTCAAGTTATTTTTTACTAAAACTATTTTCTCTCCTTTCCACTTATCCCATATTGTATCTTTTCATATCTTTCTCCATATTCATACTAACATGACTGAATAATCTCACATGTTCAGCTTTATAAAAATAAGTATTTATTATTTAAAAAATGAGCCAGGCAGTGTGGCTCATGCCTGTAATCCCAGTGCTTTGGGAACCTGAGGTGGGAGAATTTCTTGAGTCCATGAGTTCAAGACCAGCTTAGGCAATATAGCAAGGCCCTGTCTCTACAAAAATAAAAATAAAAAAAGTAGCTGGGCATGGTAGCACATGCCCTTAGTCCTAGCTACTTGGGAGGCTAAGACTGGAGAATGGCTTAAGCACAGGAGTTTGAGGCTTCAGGGTGCTATGATTGTACCACTGCACTCTAGCCCATACAACAGAATGAGATTCTGTCTCTAAAAAACAGATTTAAAAAAAATATTATTGGCCGGGCATGGAGGCTCACGCCTATAATACTACCACTTTGGGAGGCTGAGGTGAGAGGATTGCCTGAAACCATGGGTTTAAGACCAGCTTGGGCAACTTGGCAAGACCTCATCTCTACAATAAATTAAAAAATTAGCTGTACGTGGTGGTGCATGCTTGTAGTCCCAGCTACTTACATGGAAGGCTGTGGCAGAAGGATCACCTGAGCCCAGCAGGTCAAGACGGTGGTGGCTGTGAGTGTGCCACTGCACTTTAGCCTGGACGACAGAGTGAGTGAGACTCTGACTCAAAAAATATATATATATAATTTTGTGCATATTTTTATACATCTTGGTTTTTTACATTTGTAGAAATCTTTCCTAATTATCTGACATAGAGCTAACCCATTCTTTTTGGTGACTGTGTAATATTCCATATAAGGACTTAATGTAATTTATTCATTCTTTTTATGGATGACTTTCATTTTATTTTCAGTGTTTTGTTTTGTTTGTTCTGCTTTTGCCTATACAAAGAACGCTGTCATTAGCATCTTACTGTTTTTTTCCCTGTGGAATAGATACCTAGAAGTAAGTCACATAATTGCTACACATAATTTTTATTTTAATGTATTTGGTAGATTACTTATCAAAATGGCTATAACACTTCACATATTTGCTGGCATTGTAAAAATATACTCTGCTCATATCCCTGCCAAGAATAGAATTTGTCACTTTATACAAATTTTACTAGTTTGAGGGATTTAAAGCAATCTTCCATTTTACTTAAATTAAGTTTCTTCTGACTATAAATGAATTTGAGCATTGTGAAATATTTCTTGATCATTTATATTTATAATTTTTTGATTTGTGTATGCATATTCTTTGCTCTTTTCTTTTTTTCCTATTAGAACTTTGTCTTTTTTCTCTTCAATTTGTAAGGGCTCATTATATATAATCGTGTATTAGATGATAACCATTGTTGTCTGCCTTAAAAATATCTCTTCAATATTTATCATTTAGTGACTACTGATTTTGCTTATTTTTTTTTTCATTTTTTTTAGCTTTTAAAGTTTACATATTTGAATTTGGCTTTTCTTAGATATACTATTTGTTGTGTTATTTCTTGATTCAACATTTTTTTTTTTTTTTTTGAGTTGGAGTCTCACTCTGTCGCCCAGACTGGAGTGCAGTGGCACGCTTCTGGCCACCACAGCCTCAACCTGCTGGGCTCCGGCGATCCTTCCACCTCAGCCTTCCAAGTAGCTGGAACGACAGGCGCGTGCTACCACACCCAGCTAATTTTTTTTATTTATTGTAGAGATGAGGTCTCACCAAATTGCCCAGGAGGGTGTCGAACTCGCAGGTTCAGGCAATCCACTCACCTCAGCCTCCCAAGGCACGGGATTACGGCTGAGCCACCAAGCCTGGTGATTTAACATTTAAAAAAAATTTTTATGGACTCTTTTCTGAAATAATTTGAAGCAATAGTTATGAATTAGAATTTCAGAAGTTCATCCCAGCTGTGACCCAAGGACAGGAGTGATGCATTCATGTTTCTGTCCAGTGAGACAGATTTTAATTTACCCCATCTCTTCTCCATTGTGAGCTGGTTAAAGCTTTGCTAGTGTAGATAGGTATATTCTAAGAGTTAGTACAAATTCAGATGAAATTTTAAAATTATTTTTATTGAACCTTTGCTAACTACAGCCACAAGTTCATTTTCTAACATTAATTTGTCCATATACCTGTATCTATATTCCTGGTTTTTTTTGTTCATTTGTTTAATTTGAATTGTATGTTTATTGTAAATATATTAAATATATAGTACTCATGCATAAAACCGATTGTATGTTTATTGTATTTGTTTTGTTTTGTTTTGTTTTTGAGTTGGAGTCTCACTCTGTGGCCCAGACTGGAGTGCAGTGCCGCTCCCGGCCACCGCAGCCTCGACCTGCTGGGCTCTGGCGAACCTTCCGCCTCAGTCTTCCAAGTAGCTGGAACTACAGGCGCGCCCCACCATCCCCGGCTGATTTTTGATTTATTGTAGAGATGAGGTCTCGCCAAGTTGCCCAGGCGTGTCTCGAACCCGCGGGCTCAGGCAATCCACTCACCTCAGCCTCCCAAAGGCGCGGGATTACAGGCTGAGCCACCGAGCCTGGCATGTTTATTGTAAATATATTAAATATACAGTACTCATACATAAAACCAAATAATTGGTTCATTTGATGTTTCTTTGGCATTTTGGTAATACTTTCCTTCCTAATAAATGAAGCATAGCTGCAGCTGAAGTCATTTTCTTTAGTATTTTTATGCTTATTTTTAGCTAACATGCACATTTTCTGCCTCCTTTTTTTCGTAGAACACACTAAATATAACGAACAATAATTATTATTCTGTTGAAGTTGAAAACATCACTGCTCAAGTTCAGTTTTCAAAAACAGTTATTGGAAAGGCACGCTTAAACAACATAACCAATATTGGTCCACTTGACATGAAACAAGTAAGCCTCAATATTGAGATACTTTGGGGGAGTGAAATGAGTCTCAGCTTTACATATCATCTAAGATATAAAGGGAGGTGGGGGATTTCCTCAAAAACTTGACTTTGAAATTTATCTTAGATAAGATAAAATCAGAGTCAGGCTTGTAAAGGGAGAGATTTCTAATTCAAGTTATGAAGTGTATCTGAAATATTTGATATTTTGATCTTATTCTCTATCAATTTTTTCCTTTTTTTGCCTTTCAGATTGATTATACAGTACCTACTGTTATAGCAGAGGAAATGAGTTATATGTAGTAAGTTCTAATTTGTAATAACTTTTTATTGTCAAATTATATCGTGTGTAGAATAAAGTAAAAAATATATGTATGTATGTATTTATTATTATTTTTAAAGCAGGATTTATTGGAAGGACAGAAGAGCTCCCAGAATGGAAGGGGACCCAAGGGGGTTGCCCTATATATATATATATTTTTTTTTTTTTTTTTTTTTTTTTTTGAGTTGGAGTCTCACTCTGTCACCCAGACTGGAGTGCAGTGGCCGCTCCCGGCTACCGCAGCCTCGACCTGCTGGGCTCCGACGATCCTTCCGCCTCAGCCTTCCGAGTAGCCGGAGTTACAGGCATGCGCTAGCACGCCCGGCTGATTTTTTGATTTATTGTAGAGATGAAGTCTCGCCTGCCCAGGTGGGTCTCAAACCCACGGGCTCAGGCAATCCACTCACTTCAGCCTCCCAAAGGCGCGGGATTACAGGCTGAGCCACCGAGCCCGGCTACCCTATATTTTTAATTTTCATAATCTTACCCGTCAAAAAGACTACATTATGGAATATTCCATCATTTCTGTTCTCTCTTTTTCAACATGAATAACACTTATATACATATAGACATACAATTGTTTTTTTTATTTTTCAGAAAGGATTATATAGATTATGTCATTTTATTTTAAGTTACTGTGTTATAAGAAGCATATTCTCATATATTGTATATCTGTTATTATTTGAAGTATAGATGATGCTCAAACAACGTATACTTGTTTATTATATATTCTTAGTAGTATCTCTTAGCTTTAATATAAAAGAATTTTAAATTTATAATGTAGTCCCTTGTATTTATTCACATTTTTATTTCTTTAATAGTGATTTCTGTACACTGATATCTATCAAAGTGCATAACATAGTACTTATGATGCAGTAAGTATCAATTTTTTTTAAGATATTTATGTTAAAATTTTAGATTTATAACATGGACTTTTAGCATACACAGCATCTTTACAAATGCTATCCCAATTGGGCTGTAAGCCTTAAAGAATGCTATGAGATTGAGTAAATATTATTTCACCTTACAGATTAGGAAAGGTTTGCTCAGAGGAAGGATTGAAGGCTTGAATAAATTGAATGACTGCTAAGTAGTGAATCTGGAAGTCACACAAGCTCAGGAAAATGGCAGGGATTGAGATAGAGAGGGCTGAGCCCAACATCCAATTTCTTGCTCCTTTGGTAAATAATTATTAACAGTAATAAGAAGTAATGTTGCTGGTTTGTAATTTGGGTGTTATCTAAGCCAATAATATGTTGTTGGTTATGGGTTTGATATTTTGGCCATTAGCTGACGTTTGATGGACCTTTTTTCCGTGATGAGAGAACTATGGTTACTTTTTAAGTATACTTAAAAAGTATCATATACTTTTTGTTTATCATATACTTTTTAAGTATATGATAAATTTCTATATTTTTAAAGATGTGTTTAAAATGCTAATTTATTTTGTATAATTATTTGTATAAGGCTCACTCAGCTAGTAGCTAGCGTTTTTGTTGTCTGCTGGGGAAATACTCCCTAAGATGCCTGTGTCTACAATATTGTTATTGTTAATCAGATAGTCTCCCTGGAGAGAATATTATGTGTAAAAATATTTTTATTATGGCAGAACTTTTCATGTAACTATTGTTTGTTTGTCTTTATTTTATTTTTAGAGTTACTGTGACAACAACATATTTTGGCCACTCTGAACAGATATCCCAGGAGAGGTACCAGTATGTCGATTGTGGAAGGAATACAACTTATCAGTTGGGGCAGTCTGAATATCTAAATGTACTTCAGCCACAACAGTAAAAACTGAAAGAGATGTGTTTAGAGAAGAAGAAATATGTGTTGATATTTCCTGTACTATCAAAGAAGAGGTATTTCCTAATAGGAGATCTTAAATTGAACAAGCCTAAAGTTTACAATTCTATTTTAGGAGTACAGTGAAAAGTAAGTGGACTTGCAATTAGTGCAACTGCCCACTCTGTGTTAGTGATCTGTTTGTAACAGGATCTTTTACTTGAGTCTGGATTTACTGATTTATTGTTTTTCCCTCATCCACAAAGGGGAAAACTGACACTTCCCCTATAATACAATAAATAATTATTTAAGAGTCATATCTCCAGTCACTACTGAAACATAATTTTGGTGATGAACATAATTTGAGAATGTTTTTATAAAAAATTACTGAAAGGCTATTATTCATGAAAGACTTTTCAAAAATAACCTTTTTTCCTGTTTTATAAATTCCCATTGTTATATGGTAGTATTTCAGGTACGTGATATTTTAGCTTTTAGCTAAACATTTTTAGCTTTTCATTTATTGAAATTCTACTCATTTGCATGTTTTTGTCAATCTAATTTCAAGCTAGTGACTACATAGCACTAACAAACCAAATTAATCTTTGCAAAATTCCATACCTAAAATTTTAAAAGCCCCTAAATAATGTGTTCACATGTCTTTCCATAATAGTTACAGTTTTGTGAAATGTTTGTGTGATCTTCAAACATTGTCATTTAATGTACAATATTGTAAATAAACTGTGCATGGCTTTTATACAGCTTTAATCAATGTCAAAGTGGTACAGATTCAAAACTAAAGCAAGTTGCTCATAAAAAAAAATAGGAAAATGAAATTCAGAAACCCATAGAATGGAAATAGGTTCCAATTACATGTTGGCTCTAGCATAAAAATAGATTTGAAATAAAGTATTTTAATGTTTCACTTCTTTTTATGTTGCTTTTCAAACTAAAGAATGGTGTAAATACTTTTCACAACTATTAGGTACCCACTTGTCAGTTTTACAAATGTTTTAGAGGAGGAATTATTTCTTAGACAGAAATTATTCAAGCAATCCTGTCATTAAATATGGTGGCTATATAAAAATAAAACTTATTTTAAAATTTACTCACTTTGCACATCACTTGGATATGATGCCTGTAGCAGTGACTTTTTTTTTTTTTTTTTTTTTTTTTTTTTATTTTCTACTTGTGGTTTTAATTTTATTTAAAATGGTTTTCAAATGTAGACTATTGACTTACTCACTTTGCTGTTTTATATTTTCAACATCATTTTTTATTTCATCTTTTTTTCCATAAGGACATTTTAAATACATACCACTAAGTTTTGGGACTGAGTATAATACCAAAAAAAGTAAGTGGGTTGAGGTTAATTTCTTTCTGCTTCCTAGTGACAGAAATCGGGTTTCCCTTTCCCACCCCTAAGTGCCTGACTTGGATCTGAAACATAGCCTATTTATCAGTTTGACTCTCTCGACTATAAAACATAAGCTTTATTTGTTCTACCTTTAAACACACTCAGGTCCCTCCCTTAGCTTTCATATTATTTTCTCCCAAGTTTTCCTGGTCTTACTTTAATTTATTGCTAACTCAGCCATCCTTACTTTTAATCCCAAATCACCTGTTTTAAATTCACTGTAGACTTTCTAGTTAAAACCAATCTTTCTTTTTATTTTTTCTCTGCTGTATTTTCTATTACCATTCTCATTAATACTGCACACTTCTCTAATATATAGATTGTTGGTACTTTTCTAGTCATTCTCATTTTCTAAACCTTCCTTTTCTTTTTTTTTTTTTTGTTGGGGGTCTCACTCTGTTGCCCAGGCTGAAGTGCAGTGGCACAATCATAGATCACTCAGCCTCAGCCTCCTGAGTAGCTGGGACTACAGGTGCATGCTACCATGCCTAGCTACTTTTTTTTTTTTTTTTTTTTGTAGAAATGAGGTCTTGCTATGTTACCCAGGCTCACTGTGTTGTCCAGGCTGGTCTTGAACTCCTGGAATCAAGCAGTCCTCCCACCTCAGCCTCCCCAAGTGCTGGGGTTACAGGCATGAGCCACCACACCCAGTCTCTTTTTCTCATTTTCACATGATCTGTGTCTGTTTATGATTTAGGCCCTTTTTTGTCTTAACATTTCTAATCTCATGACCAGAAATTACCCTTCTCTATCTGTAGTAGGGCTTCTGTATTTGTTTCTCAATATCTGACCAGTCACCTGACTAGTTTCACATTTAGCTGGTGAACTAGAGATACAGTACTTCAGTGACTCTGTGTGTAAAATAAAAAAAAATTGGAAAACTATCATTTTCTTTCTGTTTCGACTGTCCTTTTGTCCCATTTACTTCAAATCGCCATTTATTTCTTCAAAATCATCATTTAAATACGCCTCATACAAAAATCAGTCCTTATTTATTTCCTGCTTCATGTCTTTTAACTTTGGAAAATTACATTGTGTAACTTAAACAGATTTTTTCCGATGATTTGTATCTCATATCCTGTTAAAGTACATATACAGTGTCTCCTGAAGAGTCAGGAAAGTAGAGGGAACATTTGCTTTTAGTGTCTTAATTTTTTTTCTTCATCTTTTAAATTAAAAAATTTTTTATTACATCTAGTTTCAGTGGAGTTTGAGTCAGAAAAAAACTATTTAAAACAAGTAAAAAAAAAAAAAAAAGATAGTATAAGAGATCAAGATCACCTATGACTGCTTTCAGAGAGAGTTAAGTAGCTGCCAGAATAAGCCTGGAACAAAGCAGGCTGTAAATTAATAAAACTACAAAAACACATTCAGCAGAAGCAGAAGTATAGCCATAAAAAGTCTGGAAGGCAAAACAAGGCTTTTAGCTTTTCTTAGGTCAGTGTCCAATGCGGTTTCTTACATGGGAATAGGAAATATATCAATACATGTTTAGAAACTGCCTGCAGACTTTATCCAGAGGACATGGTAAAGATGTCACAAAGTTTTTACTGATATTTCTTGGAGTACCTTTCTCTTAAATTACACCCTAACAGACTGGACATTCTAACCAAATCTAGTAGTAGAACAAGCCTCTGTGTGTTTATATTACATACAGCACGTTAAGCTTTTTAGAATTCTTTCATATATTTTTCTCACATGACTTCCCACAGTCCTATGAGTCAAAGGAGGATGATAGGATCCTCATCTTTTAGAAGAGGAAGGGGAGGCATGGAGAAGTTGAGGGACTTGATGAAGACCGCATGTTTAGTAAGTAGTTGAATTGGAGCCAGACCTAGTTTATCTGTCTCCCATATCCGCACTCTGTCGTTAAAATATTCCGTTGGAAAGTCCTGCTGAGTCAGGTTGGTATGATTAAAATGAGAAGAAAAGTTCAAATAGTTAATAATGACAGTCAAAACAGTACTGATAGAACTGAGATTTTGGTAACTTTAGGTTGCTATCAGATATTTTAAATGAGGAATGAACATGTAGAATAATTTGGAGCATGATCTATGGATTAATTTTCTGTTAAAATTAGTACTTCATAATCATTCCAATAAAGATAAAACTGCGATATATTGTCAGTAAATTATTTATAAATAATTGATGTATTTGAGATTTGAAATAAAGAATAGTATGAAAATATTAGATACCAAGATAAATTGCTTGAAATCACTGAATGACTATTTTTATTGTAATATGAAACATATAACTGCCAATAATATTTGTGTGCAGTTTTTCTATGCCTTTTTTGTCTAGGCCAATTAAGTAATTATTTTCTCAAAAAATTAATGACAAAATACAGCTTACTTCAGATATTCTGATTTACAGTTTGGAAATGACACAGTGCAGTGTTCAAATAGGTGAGGGATGACTGTCACTACACAATACAAATAACATGTTAGGAGACTTGAAACTAGAGCCTATGGAATCCTTCATGGTTCTTAGCCTTATTATTGCAATATAATTCTGGATATTTTCTTGGAGGGCTTTTCCCCATGCCCCATTTTGTTTGTTTTTTAAAGTTCTTAGAGTAAACAGTTCTTTATATATATTTTTTATTTAAGAAAATCATGTTAGGTAGTTTTTAAATGATGTAAATTTTAAAATTTACAAATTTATATGGGTCTTTGATAAGCAATAGAAATTGAATTTGAAGTTATTAAGGTTATAAGCAAAAGGTTATTTACCATAATTTCATCAGGTAATTATTTGTGGCTCACATCTGGAAGCATCGTAAGTTGGCGCAAGTACATCTAAGAGTAATTAGTTTTATTTCTCTTTTTTATAAAATCAGGTTTTAAATGAGATGTTTATCTTAAACTATTTTATTTTAAGGAGAAATTTACATGTTTGAGATGGTGAGGTAAAAAGACTGTTAAACGTTATTTCCTTAAAAAATTATTTTTACATTAAAACAATATATTTGTGATGTGCTTAAATTAAAAAAAAATAACTTCTATATCCCAGATTACTTATTTCAAAGTAAAAATTTTCAGTTGTCAGCTGAAATTTCTGTTTAGAACAAACATTTGTATATTTTTGTGCTTAATCAGTATACAAATTTCACAGTGGGTTTTCAAAATTTATCCTTAATTTGGATAAAATAAGTAATTATAAAGTTAACTATAGGGATAAAAATGGTAATTTCCATTTTTTAAACTAAAGTGATTAGGTTTGTAGTTCTTTGTACAAGTGATTAGCAGACTCTTACTTGAAGAATATAGTATGATCTGTACTTGACCCTAACAATGTTTAATAAATTAACAAATGTATGGCAAATTTTTCATAGCTAAATCTAATTCTTCTAGAAGGAAGTTGTTACCTTCTGTTTAATTACATTAATTGAAATGTGTTTAAGAGAAATGTTTTCAGCATATTTTGTATACTAAAAAACAAAAAAGGATTAGTATTGGGCCAATGGCCAAGAGGTAATATTACTACCATGTAGACTGTTACAGTTCAAATTGTCCCACTTCCCCCAGAATTTTAGAAACTAGAAGTCTGGGAGATACTATATCAGCTGTAGTTGGATGATTCTAAGTGCTGTAAGTACTATTTATCTTTGTATTGTGTGAGATGAAACAAATTCCAAGTTGAAAAGGATGCAGTTTCATTTTGTAATGGTTTATTTTAGGCATAAAATAACAGCAAGCCATGTCCCATATGTTTTGTCTTACGTTTTCCTTTAGAACTAAACTGAAAAAGATTTTGGAAAATAATTTGAAATGCTTGCTCACTTGACCCAGTTGGTCAGATATTTGAAAGATGGTATTACTAGATTCCAACCCTTGATTCTAACGGTATAATAGATAATAATACATAATGTGAGAATATGTGTGGGCACTTATTCTTTGGTTATGTTATGTAGTGGCCTCTATCATGACACACTTATTACATTGATGAATGGAGCAGTTCTATAACTATAGTCATCATCACTGTTGATGTAACAAAACACACTTTATCATGATAGTAGCAAATAAGTAGAAATGCCCCCAAATGCTATTTTTTTTAATTCCATTGTAACTGTTGCTCTTGTGTATGACAGAATAAAATTTGTAAACATTTTAGCATGAAAAATAAAATTTGTATCACTCATGTATTTTGGGTTTGTTTTTGAAATTCCCTTGACATACACAAATCAGTATAGATGTTGACAGTCTTCTAGCTTTAGGTTCTTTGACCCTTATAGATAGTCCTTACTTGAACTCCACTTTAACGTCATTTTTATTTCTCTTTTTTTCATCCATTTAGCTTCCGATCAGTCCTCCAGTTTTATCTGTTCTACCTCTGTATTATCTCTGGACTCTGTCTCGTACATGAAGTCTTCTTGCTGTTATAGACAAACCTTGCAGATATTTGGTTCCAGACTACGTCGATAAAGTGATTGTCACAATAAAGCAGGACACACGATCATCTAAACCTTCAGCTCTTTGTAATCTTCTTGCTGGTGGAAGCTCTTGCCTTGATGTTGATGGCTGCTGACTGAATCAGGGCGGTGGTTGCTGAAGGTTGAGGTTGCTGTGGCAATATCTCTTTTGTTGTTGTTTGTTTGAAGTCTCACTCTTTTGCTCATGCTGAAGGGCAGTGGCACGCTCTCGGCCACCACAGCCTCAACTTGCTGGACTCAGGCGATCCTTGGGCTTCAG